GGGTGGGGGGAGGACTCCATTACCCACCCTCCCCAGTCGAGAGGCTGGGGTTGTCCGCTGATGAGACCCCCGCCCTTCGAATGACTCTCTCTCTCTCTCTCTCTGCCCCTCTCTCTTCCTAGGCTGCTACCTACAAACTGGCCGCCCTTCCGGTGGCCGGCGCCATCCTGGGGGGCATCGTGGGGGGCCCGATCGGGCTCCTGGCAGGCTTTAAGGTGGCCGGGCTGGCGGCCGCTTTGGGCGGCGGCGTGCTGGGCTTCACGGGGGGGAAACTCATTCAGAGGAAGAAGCGGAAGTTGATCACGGATCTGTCGTCCTCCAGCTGCCCGGACGTGCCTGGTCAGAGCGGCCAAGGGGGCAGCTGAGGACTTCCCCAGCCCGGCATCACGGACTGCTCACCTGGACAGGTGGTTTCCTCCTCCTCCTCCTCCTCCTCCTCTTCTTCCTCCCTGCTGGAAATATTTCCTGTTGTTTGAGAATGTGAAAGGGGACAAAATTGATGCTGGGGGAAAAAAAAATAACCCTTCTGACTCACGCCAGGGGAAGGCAAAGCGTGGTCACGCTTTGGCGCACCTCACCTGCACCGCGTTGCAAGGAAGGTGGAAAGGTGCGCGCCGAAGGGAGGCCTCCACCTGGTTTGCCTTCCTCCTCCAGGGAGTGTTATCAGTGTTCACCAAATGCCTTTTTCCAGGTTTACAAAACGGACAGGAACGCCCAGAGGTAGCCTTTGGTTTTAAAGCCTCTGGATACTTCCGTTTTACGGTTACACACCTGTCGGTTTTAGTCGCTTTCTGGCTTCTCAGGATCGGTTTGCGGTGGCAGATTTGGGTTCGTGGCAGGACAGGCCTGCTGGGGTCGGGGGGAAGGGTCAGGCGGAAGAGGTGATGAGAGGTCTCGCCTTGGGAGGGGAAAATTCGGGGGGAGCGGGGCTTGGTTTGCAAATTTTAATTCTTTTTTTTTTTTCCAGACTGGAAAGTTGGCTTCTACCTCTCGTTTTCAAGTGCCACGGTCAGGAAAAGCCAGAACAGGCTATTCGGGGGGGCAATTCTCTGCTTGTGGCTTGTCAGGTGTCTGGAACGGTGTTTCCGTGGTAACTTTCAGATGAGTGGACTTCGACTCCCAGAATCCCCCAGTCAGCAAGGAATTCTGGGAGTTGCACTCATCTGAAAGTTGTCCAGTTGATTGGAGAACGCTGGGAGTGGAAGTCCTCACGTCCATAAAGGGAGAAACATTACTCTGGAATGAGCAGAGAGGTTGGGAACGATGGGCCCTTGATGAAGTGTGGACTTCAACTCCCAGAATTCCCCAGTCAGCAAGGCATTCTGGGAGTTGAAGTCCGCAGGCCATACAAGCCGAAATCCCCCACTCTTGCTGTAGAGTATCAGACAAAAATTATTTGATTTTAGTTATTAATTATTCCTTCCATGCCAACTGACCCCTCAAGGTGGAAACGGATCTGTTTTGGAGGGATGTTTGCGCCCAAATGAACCAACTGGGGCTGTGTGCGTTGGGTCGGTTCAAAAGAGCGACAACTATATTTTTCCTCTTCGCACAAAAACACAACGCCATCTCGTCCGCCTTACAAGTCGCCCCCAGAGTCAGTTCGGATCTCTTAAAAATCACCATCATCTTTTATCTGAAGTATTTCAAAATGTCTCCCGGACGTGGGTTGTGTGCCATCTTTTTAAGTGGGGCAAAACACTTTTACTGCATCGTTTGTACCAACGCCGGGTGTCTCTACACATCATCCGAGAAATAAAAGACGTTTTTAAAAAGAAGTTTAAAAAGAAGCAGGTTTTATTAACGGGTTTGTGTTTTTTCTTTTTGCTGACGTGGCAGTTGGGCAATTCAAGGGAGTTTGTTTCCTTGCTAAGATTTGCTGACTGTCGATCTACATTGCGGGCACCCGGGGAGATAAAGGCAGAAAGAGGACCATTTATTTGGGGAAAAGGGGGATTTTTCTTTTTGTCCCTTGTGGGGAGAATAAAATACAGGAGAGCCAACCTGATCCCGCTTACAGCTTGGCTTCCCATCCAAGGGAGCTAAAAACCTCTAAAGAGCCCTAAATGTCCCTAAAGAGGGAGGCGGTGGCTCCGTGGCCAAGACCCTGAGCCTGTTGATCAGAAAGGATCGGCGGTTCGCATCCATAGCGCCGTGGAATGGAGTGAGCTTCTGCCAACCTAGCAGTTTGAAAGTGTTCTGACCCGGGGCGTGTGTTCCTGACCCAAACCTTGTTCCAAGGAAACCAACATGAAACGGAGGTAAACAGCAAAACCTTTTAATGATTCTTTACGAATTCTGTTCCTTCCCGGTTAAAAGGCTGCTTCAAACTAATTGTCTCTGATAAGAACGAGCCTTGCCAAGGTGGTGCAAGGCAGCCAAGAACACTAGATTAAGTTACTAAGGAATATTTCAAACACAAAGAGTCTCCAAACACCAGCCAAGATACTCTGAATGTCCCCAAGGCTTGAGTGCAAAAATTTCTTTGCTTCCTGCAAAGAACTCCGGTTTCTCAGCTGGCTTTTATTTCTTAAGGGAGGGGCAGTCACCTTGCAGCCTTACTCCCAAGTCGCCCGTGCTGCTGCAGCTGCTCTTTCCTTTGAGCAGCCCTGCTTGCACGCGCACTGGGCACAGGCTCCTTGGGGGACTCTTCCTCACTGCTGCCAGCCTCCACAGTCTCTAAAGGCAGCACTCCACTCCCTGATGGTCCTGGCTCCATCCCTGCATCACCTGCAGGTCCCTCATCCGAGTCCTCGCTCTCTGAGGCCTCTGCCGTCCCCACCTGCTGCCGGCAAACCACAACAGCGTTGCATGAAGGCGACATAGATAAATCAATAAGAGTCCCTTTATTAGCTCCAACTTTGCCCCCAATGTCCTGGTTACCTTCTGGGCTGGAGAAAAACTCCCAGGAACAGCCTTTGGCTGCAGGGAATCAAGTCCAAAACATGGTCAACAAAAACTGTAACTACAAGTCCAATCAAGGCAAAATAAGTAGTTCGGCAAGGCCGGAGCAAGAATTCCAGATGTGAAGGCACGGTAACAACAACACGGTTGGGAGGATCCCAGGAAAGCAGATAACCAAAGTACACACAAGATAAAGTCACATTTGCTCCTAGTAGCTGCTGTGCTCAGCTTGCATCTCTTTTAAACTCTTTTCCAAGCTGCAGCTAATGAAGGGAATCAGGGCCCTTTCCTCCCCCGTAAACCACGCAACCCACGTTGCTCCTTTCTCCATTCCTCTCTATGCCCTAGGATGAAGAAAGGGGTGGGCCTGGGTCTTCCTCTGAAGTCCTCCCTTGCTCTCCCTCTCCCCTGCCCTGCCCAGCCGGACTTTGCCCTTCCCCAGTTTCCTCCAAAGCCAACGGAGCCACACTTCCGCTCCCTGTCAGCTGTTTCTCTTCCTTCTCGGATTCAAAGTCTGATGGCGGCACGACCGAAAGCATATAATAATAAAAAAAGTGCAAATAGAAAAATAGGGACCCCTTTGGTGGGAAGGGGACAGCGTTCCATGCGCCTTCAGTGTTTAGTCCTGCCGGCCACATGACCACGGAGACGTCTTCGGACAGCACCGGCTCTTGACGGTTCTCTAACGGAGATGAGCAGCGCCCCCTAGAGCCAGAAATGACTAGCACGGATGGTTCCAGGGGAACCTTTCCATTTAGCTCCCTAAATTCACACAAAAGATGCCAATAGCAAAAAAAAAAAAAAGCTATTCTGGCACGATGCCCAGCAATGGGCGGCCTGGTCTGCTGGAGCCCTGGACCGAGGCTGCCGCCCGCTGAGTCCAGCCAAGTGGGCCATAGCCTCCTTTGGGATGGGAGATCCCACTCTATGCCAGGGGTCAGGATGGGCTGGTCAGTTTTGCAAAGGGCCACAAGGGGGCAGCAGGACCCTAAAAACAGCAAGAGGGGACCCCCAGTTCGGTTAAAAGGCTTGAGATTGGGGGTTCCTGCATTTTATTGGGGGGGCGGGGGCTCCCTGTCAGAAAATTTCTCCGTTCCAAGGAGCTTCTCTCCTTGATGGGTTTCCATCCGCTGCTTCTTGTCCTGCCTTCAGGGGCTGTGGAGAACAGAATACAGAATAACAGAATTGGAAGGGACCTTGTAGGTCATCTAGTCCAACCCCTTGCTCAAGCAGGAGACTCTATACTGTTTCAGAAAAAAATGCCCGTCAAATCTCTTAAAAACTTGATGAATTTCCATCCGCTGCTTCTTGTCCTGCCTTCAGGGGCTTTGGAGAACAGAATACAGAATGCAAAATAACAGAGTTGGAAGGGACCTTGTAGGTCATCTAGTCCAACCCCAGCTGATCCACTGGTTAATTCTCCTCACCATCGGGAAGTTTCTCCTGGGTTCCAGGTTGCTTCTCTCCTTGATGAGAAGTTTCCATCTGTTGCTTCTTCTCCTGCCTCTTCAGGGGCTTTGCAGAATAGCTTGACTCCCTCTTCTTTGGGGCAGCCCCTCAGATATTGAAATACTGTTAACATGTTCCCCCTATACCAGGACTGTCCAATCTTATGGACTTCAACTCCCAGAATTCCTCAGCCAGCCAGCTGGCTGGCTGAGGAATTCTGGGAGTTGAAGTCCCACATTCTGGGAGTTGGAAGTTCTGGGAGTTGAAGTCCACAAATCTTAAAATTGTCAAGGTTGGACACTCCTGTCCTGTACCATTCAGGACAAACGAATGGCTCTCCAGTCTCTTCTTGAAAGCCTCCAGTGATGAAGAAGCACCCACAACTTCTGGTGGCAGGCAGTTCCACTGGTTAATTGTCCTCACAATTAGCAAGGTTGCTTCTCTCCTTGATTAATTTCTATCCGTTGCTTCTTGTCCTGGCCCTCCACCTCAAAAAAGTTTTTTTTTAATTTCTATCTACATATAACAACAATACGCTAACAGTGGCATCAATATATCATACATCTCTCATTACCTATGTTCATATTAATTCATAATTCTTCAATGTTTATTTTCAACCTTATAGTTACCTATTCATTTTATTTGTTGAATTTCACATTGCATCATCCTTATCATTTATTCAATATTAAGCTTCTCTTATCCAATCCCAATTCATGTTCTAATATCTTGTTTTACAATGTTATCTTTATTCAATTCCAAATCCTGTTTGGAAATCCTCCTTCCGTTTTTCTTAGTATATTCTCATATCTTATTTTACAATGTTATCTAAAATTCTCATCTTCTTTCTATTGTCATTTCTCATATTATTATTATTTTTCTGTCACATTTGTCATTTTATCAATCCTTACCTGTAAATATAATTGTCTCCTCTAGTTAATAATTCGAGCTAACCACCTTCATTCTTCCTTAATATCAATCTCCTTATCTAATATAAAACACAAATATATATATTTTTCTCAGATTCCGCATTATATTTTCCTTTGGAGAATAGCTTGACTCCTTCTTCGTTGAGGCAGCAAATACTCAAATACTGGAACGCTGCTATTACGTCCCTCCTAATCCTTCTTTTCTCTAGTCTATCCATACCAAATCCTGCAACTGTTCTTCCTATGTTTGAGTCTCCAGGCATTTATAATGTAGAACATAGAATACCAGAGTTGGAAGGGATCTTGAAGGTCATTTAGTTCAACTCCCTGCCCCAGCAGGAGAGTCTACGCTACTTCTGACATTGCATCCTCCTAGTTGCTCTTCTCTGCACTTTTTCCAAAGTCTCAACATCTTTTTGTGTGATGCGGTGACCAAAACTGAATGCAGGATTCCAGGTGTGCGCTCAGAGTATTGCAGCCTAAATTCACCGCCAGAAAAGTAAACACAGATGGCTGAGGCTTCATTTAACTTCTTTATAAACACACGAAGTAGATTTTACAATACCAGTGGTAGATTTCTCCGGCACGGAACAAACTCAGACAGAAGCAGACATGTTACAGGTTCAGACCTTAACTCTAGTCTTCAGCAAGCAAGCAAGTTAGTTTGTATTTCACTTTAGAGCTGAGCACAGAACAGAGATAAACCACAGCCAGATTCTCTCTTTAAATTTCAGCCCTCAATTCAGCTCTCATTGGCTGATCTTGTTACGAAGCTCTGTTCCAGTTCATGAATATACTCTGACAGGGTGCCCTTACTAAGGCTTTATAAAGTGGTACTAAAACTTCATGTGATTTTGATTCTATGCCTCTGTTAATGCAACCCAGGATTGTGTTAGCTTTTCTGGGCTAACACTCAATTTCTTTGCTAGCATAAAAGAAGCTTGCCTGTTGTGAGATGCTTTTTTGACTTTCTGACCTAGCCTCTCTCCCCAGGATTCCCTGGTGGTCTCCCCTCCCAAGGAGGAATCCAGGGGTGGAGTCCTTGCTGGCTGTGCGCCCAATATAAGCCTTACCCTCAAAATAAGCCCTAATTAAGAACCCTTTCCACTCCAGAGTGCATGGATAAAAATTAAACTAGGGTAGGGATGTGGGTGGGGTGGAGCTGCCCTACTACTTACCATTGGACAGTTGTAGCCAGGCCTCACACACCTTGACACCTGCCTTGAAGGCCCATTTCTTCTGCAGCCGGCAAGGCCGGCAAGGCTTTCCTGAAGGCCTCTGGAGCTGATAACAAAGCTCTGGATTGATCCAGAGCTGTGTTAACGGCTTCAGAGGCCTTCAGGAAAACCTTTGTGGCTGCAGAAGAAGAAGTTCTGGAAGGCCTCCGACAGCAAAAAGGAGGCCGGGGGCGACGGGCGCAAGTGAGGTTAGTCAGTAAAGGAATCCCCCGAAAATAAGACCTGGTGCCTCTTTGGGTGGCAAAAAATAAAATAAGACAGGG